CCCCCATAACCCCCCCTCCCTGGATCCGCCCTTGTGTGGAATCTGTGGCGTTTGCTTAAGTAGGAACTTGTTTTGCCGTTAAGTTAGCACAAACTTTTGTTTTATTTGGAAAATGGGCCTGACAAATAAATGTCGCAGCCTCTCTACACCATTAATTATATTTTCTTTGCGGTCTCATAATTATTAAAATTCTCTTGACTAGTTGGTTTAGTCTTTTTAGTCTGCCACTAGGGAGGGCACACTATACATATTATATAATTAATTTTCTTAGCAGTGGTTTTTAGGTATTTCAAAGAAACCAATGGAACAACATGCAATTTATTAATAATGAATTGCGCCTGTTAATACAATATTATTGTATTAATTTGATACTTATTAAATCATCAATCGCATTCAGATTATAGCGAGTCATATATTTATCGCAATTGATAACGAAGAATTTGTTTAAATTGTTACCTCAGGAATCTCGTTTTTCAATATTCATTTAAAATCATGGTTTAAAAAACTGCTTCTTATAAAGAACAGAAACCATGTATAATTTTGACATAGTTTGGGCGTGGTGCTTTGCAACTCATACCAGCCGAGCGAATTTCTGGTCGTGTTTAACCCGTCAAAAGTGTCAATGATAAATAATTATATTCAGTTACTCTGTCACATGTAGTTGTCTTCATCTATGCTCTGTTAGTTATTCACTGGTGCAGTTATTGGTTGGAAAGTTGAAGTCATTTTACGTGTTTAAATCCTAGTTATCAACGGTAAGTAGCTAAATACAATTAAGCTGTTCGGACTATTCCCAACTGCAAGCATTCGAAAAAAACTGCATGATTAAGGTTCTGATTTACAGATGGAACCAATGTGTGTAGGCAGTACACCAAGTCCGGCATCTCCTGCGGTCAATCCCGGTTTTTTGCCTAACTTTTTAATAGAGGATCTTCCTCTTTCAACGCCCCAAAATGGAAATGCTTTACCAGGCCACAAGAAGACTCCCAGTAGTTTTAGAACCAAGTCAAACGCAAAGGAATCGCAAACGTTACGGCAGAAGCTTTTCAGCCAAGCTATGGCAGAAAGCCCCATTCCTTCATCGCAGTCTTTTGAGCCAGTAAATGAAAAAGTTGGCCCCCCGAAGACCAGCTTGTTTGACGCGCTTGATTCCGCCAAACGACCCGTTGCTCCAATTTTGAGCAGTACTGTAGCTCAGAATGAGTCCGGACTGTTTAATGAGACCTTATCGCGAATGCATCCAGAGGAATCATTCTATAGAACTAATAGTTTCAACTCCAGTCGGCAGAATGGGAGTGGAGAACATTGGGTAACCGTATTTGGGTTTCCTTCAAGTGTGCTCAGTCAAGTTCTCTGCGAGTTATCCAATTGTGGGGTTGTAGCAGATAAATATGTCCCTCACCAAGGAAATTGGGTTGATGTCAAATTTAATAACAACAGTGAGGTGTCCCGAGCCTTAGCTCTCAATGGAAAATGCATTAATGCCAATGTGATGATCGGAGTTCAGGTCAGACGTACTAAGGAAAACAAGGAAAATAGCTCGATTTCTACACCTAATAGAGCCAGGTCTTTGAGGTACTCCTTTATATCGCCCCAGCCTTCGAATAGTGTCATTCCCTCGCAAACCGTTCCGCACAAGTCTACTGGAATTGTTAGTAAAGCCATGGAATATGTCTTTGGATGGTAAAACGTGCTATACTTTTAATATACGTGCTTAATTTTAAATGTGCCTTTGCGACTATTTGTGATCATATGTACATGTAGTTATATCGTCTTAGTTAATAAAAATTCTTTATTTTCGCATGGATTAAGCACGTTTTCCCTTTATTTTAGACAAATGAAATGCCGTTTTTGACGTGACATTTATTATATAGTTAATTCTACACATTTTTAAAATAAATATTCAACAATAAAACAATGCCTCAAGTAGTACTCATTGCCTAAACTATTTAGAATAGAAAGTCAATTGATACGTAGTACCAATGGGTTTTATTTATTATATTCACAATCGGGGACAACTTTTACACTAAATTAACAGAGCATTTTTACAGCTTTGAAATGAATCTGTACAGGTTCAATGAGGAATTTAGTCATTTGGAAATTCATCGGGCGCGGGAAAATCATCAAGTGCTGGAAAATGTTGCCCATCAAGTGCTCGTCTATAAATAGACAAAATCGAACATCATTTGGTACCTGAAATAGTCGCACCAGCTAAGTCTGTCATTTTCGGATATTTCACGTTCTTTTTGTTTAGTTTCTCTTGGGCCCAAAGAATTAATTTTAAAAGAGTCGAAATTTTCGGCGCTGTTGATTCCTGATGTTCCATTTTAAGTATTGCCGCATTCACTTCACCCGCCACCTAAAGACCATTAATTCAAAGCAAAAATTGTAAGTTGAGTGCGTTTTCTTTTAATCACCTTCTGTCTATGCGATGGCTCCAACAGATCGCCAAACGGGCTGCTTAAAGGGTCTTCGAACGCAAGAAGTGCAATTGTTCTCTCTAATTCAATCAGTACTGAGTGGTCCTCTTCTCCAGCTTCACTTAAATGGCTCTGAGCAAATGCCAGGGCTTCTTCTATTTTGTTGCTTCGAATTAGCTCGAGTAGATGAAGTTGCTGTTAAAATAAATATATGAATTGAAGCCTCAAAGAGTGAGTAAAATCTCGTTTAAATTGTTAATTGTATTTACGTTTAAAGTTTCCAACCGTGTAGACCGAAAAACAAGTTATTTTTGTTATTGCACATTTGTTTACGCAACTGTTATTGCAACAATAGTACTCGATTTCTTCTGTTATATTTACCCGTAAGCGGAAATATAAATATCTATCATTGTCCAATAGTTCAGAGTGTAGCTGGTTGATTAAAGTGGTGGCTTCCTCAATTCGGCCATTCATAATAGCATCACGAATTCGCATTCTGTCGTCCAGTGAATGTAGGTTATCAGGAGTTGCAATTCCGGATTCCTGTTGAAATTTTTCGGCTGCTTCTTTAAAACCTTCTGAAATATGAAAAAAGTTGCTACAAAAACCGCTTGATTCCTTTGTTTGGACACTTTCAAGCAATTGAACGATTACTTACCCGTCACTAAATAATTCATTATCAATTTGTTCATGTTACTACGTCCTACGTCGTTATCTTCAAGCAACTTAATCCAATCTTCCTTTGTTAAAGCGTCTTGTCTGTCTCCCATCGTACTTTCAACGATTTGTTTATTTTGGTGAGATCTTTGTCAGTAATTGGCGTTTCCAACTGATAGTGACAGATGAAGGTTGGCGGACAAAACTTCAACCGGAATCTAGGCCTGTTGTAAGTGTGACAACATTGCATTAAAGATGGGAGCATTGGGGATTACCAGCAGAATGCTGATCAATTTGTTTAAAAAGTAATGCTCAGTTAACCGAAAAATTAACTTCAATAATGAGCCACAGCTCTCAAAGACTTGTTTGTATATATCGGATGTGTGTTCTATACAAATTTTAATGTCTGTGTTTTATTGAACTGTGTTGCGTCGTTTTCCTCCTATTTTTTTAAATATTTATCCCATGCTAAACAACAGCTTTTTAGTTTGTTTCTTGTCGTTTTACTTATTTAATTATTGTTAATAATTGAAATGTTTTTTTCAACTTTCATGCTACTTACGCTGATCTGCAATACTTATTATTAATACATTTTTAGTTCGTGTTTGTTCCAGTTCTGCAAAGTTCACGCGGACCATAAAGTTATAGTTTTATTTTTCCCGTTTTTTTACTACGCGAAACAGTTTCCTCCTCATACCTTTTCTTAAAAAATTTCCTGATTAGATCGAAGATAATGCGAACAAACGTATGCATAAAAAAATAAAGCATTATCAGAAAAAATCAATGAGGGATATTTTCCTGAAATATCGCATTTTTTCTTTATCTACAGTCCTTTCTTTCATTATCGAATTGCTTTTATAAGAACTTTTTACACTTTTGTATCGATTAATAATTTCAAATTCAGCGTTCACCATAATCGGAATCTATGAATTGTTTGGAAATGCGAAATACGTTGACAGTATATTATTATTATAATTTTAGCATGTATTTTTTTCACAATTTAAGTTGCCATTAACGTTACTTTTAAGCACTCGCGTATTTTTATAAATTTTACACAGAGGGTCCAGCAATAACGAGGTTTACACAAACCGGAAGTTTTTCACTTAAAAATAGTTGCAACTCACAATCAATACTTAATACTCTGTTAAGAGTTCGTATTTCTGCATGACGACCTAAAATTATTTTCAAAAGTCCTAAAAAACCTATTGAATACGTAACGAAAGCTTATTAAGTAATTTTTTTTTCCAAAAAAAAATTAAAGAAATTTAAAATTTTTTTGAAAAAAAAATTATATGAAGGGACTGTTACTCTTCTTCTTGATTGTGTAATGTTTCTTTAATTTTTCAATTAGTGTGAATTAGATAAAGAATTTTGTAAATACTTCACTTCTATAATGTAATGTCACCCAATAAACCTACTCGTATATTTTTGCTTCAATCCGACAAATTTAATTGCCCAATCGGAACTCATGAATATTCATGAGAACTTGTCCTAATATGAACATCAGTTAGTGGCGGGTTTCGTTTTGGCACATTCGTTATATTTCAAATAACACACAAATGAGTTACTTAAAAATCACATTTTATTTACAGCATATAATTATATAAAACATTTTTTTTCAATAACAAAAATTCAATCAACAGGTAAAAATAATAATGGTGCCGAAGTATATTTTAAATATAACGGCTAAAAATGATGAGGGAATATCTTTCAGAATTTTGTAATTTCTAATATAACAACTTAGAAAGTAATGCAGATTTTGTAACCGATCGAACAAGTTTGGGGAGTTTCAAATTAAGTATAATGAAAAAAGAACCGTGGTTGTTCGTATTGTAACAATAAGGAAAGCTAGATGATTCTAACAGCTAACTACTGAGAGTGGTGGGTGCAAAGAATCAGTGATCAGTTTACTTGGTTCTGCGGATTGTATTTAAGTACCTACAAGAGTTAATAACGATGATCACATCAGGAATAGCAGAACTTCAAATAATGTTCATTCCCAATTCGATTAATTAAAAAAATTATTTGCTCTGTTGTCCACTCGTAAAATTGATTAATTCTTCTTCGGGTGGTATTTTATTTGCACATGTGAATGTCTATTTGAGCTTCCGCCACTCCACTCTGGACCAGAATCTAAATGTTACAACTATTACTGTTGTGAATGGTGTCTGTAGGAACTGTTAGCCACTGTCACAATGTTTGATAGTCATGTAGAATTCCACTTGGAGTTTGGTAAAGAGATTGTCCCATTCCGCTCGCACTGAGTGTTGAGTAGGAGTTCTGTTGCGGAGGAACCATCAAGGAAGGATTGTAGGGCGTCATTTTGTGTCCTTCTGATTCGCTTTCTGAGCCACTTGTGTCCATGTGAGGTTTGTCCGACATCGGTTGGTTACTGAAAATTATAAAAAAAATTCTTTTAATCCAGGCGGGAAACAGGAATAATTCAAATTATGCTCGAGGTACTTGTTGCTTGCAATTTTCATAAACCCAACTGGAGCAAAATATTACAATTTAATAGGAAAAGTATAAAAAATGTTGTAAAATATGTCAAAAAACACACTAACTGTTCATAGCATTATGATTTTCGCTCATGGTAAGCACCTTGATTACAGTTATAGAACATAACATTTATTTAAAAAACCGTTAGACATTTAAAAGTAAATTTTAAATAACATTACTCGAAAGTTTCAACAATGATAATTAAAACTATGTATACGAACAGTCCATAATTGGGGTTTGTTGAGGCATGGTTGGAGAGACCTCGTTCTTCCCACTCTTTTTTTGATAGAATCGGGATCATTATCAGTTTCTGCTTAATTGGAAACTTCTTTCTGTTAACTTTTTTCCTTTTTCATATTTTTACTCTTAAAATTATTTGAAAAAATTATACATTTTCAGTAAAGACTGAAACGCAGTTGTTATTTTCCAAATTGCTGTCTGCAGCGATAGTTTTCTTCAAGAAGAACGTAAATTGATGATCTTTTAACCTTTTCTCAGTTTTACGGTTTTTTGTGCATTAAAAGTTTAGGAAAAGAGGCACATTGCAAAAAACTACCTTGCTTAACGCTGTACAAAATACCTCTTGAATGACGTCACAAGGATATGCCATTCGCGTCTGACAAATACTAAACCGATAATTGGAAAATTGGCATTTGCTTGTTAAAAATTGACATTTTATATGCCATCGTTGACATTGAAATTTAAAGCTATCAGAGACTTCAGAGTTTTCAGTGCTCAAAGTTGCGGTCGTTTTCTACTTGGCTCATGGTAAGAAACATTTTTTTCCATTTTTAAATCTGTACTGAAAAATAAGCAAGCAAAAAATGAATGATAAGCAAAACAGGATTAAAAGTTAAAGAGGCGCAGATGTGAAAACGGTATTTTAAAATGCAACGATGGCAATAGAAAATGAAAAAAATATTTTGGAAAACTTGGAACCTTGGAATGTTTTTAACTCAGTTTGAAACAGATAAAATGCTCAAACTGCTACATACTCTAAAGTAAATTTTAATTATGAAAATAAAAATTTAAATAATATTGTTACCTATGAAAAACCTTGCGTTGAAAACATTTCTATAAACCTTACACTTTCCTAGAAGTAATTTTATCAAAAAAATAATAATTTAAATAAATTTAATAAACGTGACGTGACTTTGTACCTTTGTAAATTTGAAACTCAAGTAAGTGTTTCTTTGATAAAATCATCGTACTATAGCCCCAGGAAACACTGGTAAAGGTTTTATTATATTTTAAATATCGTTTCTCTAAAATATGTCGAGTATGAAAGTTGAAGCTGGCACTTATTCTATATTTTCAAGTCTTTTGCTATATTTTTTTACGGGGGGCGTTACCTTTACAGTTCTTTCTAGGACGCCTTATGTATTAATACATTTAAAAATGATGTTAGTATTTAATTTAAATAGGGCTCGAGCTATTGGAATCCAGGAGTCTTTATGTCTTCTGAGCATTTTTCGCAACTTTTGAGGGTTTTCAGATTTCATATTCCCGTTATTCTCGTTATTAGCTACTTAATAGTTTTCCTGCATTTTATTGAAGTTACTTTTTATTAAAGTTCAACGGCTGTTAAACAGTTTGACTGGTTAGCATTTTTTATTCAAAAAATATTTGGCACGTTCCATGTATCTTTTTGCGTTTCACTCTCAGTGTCTAATGTCCGACAATATTGACTCACCAGTCTAAATTTAATCTGAGATTCATATTTTGAAACTGGATCACGCTTATTATTTAGAGGAACAACACCATTATGCTTTTTTTGTCTAGCCGCTTCTCAGTTAACCCACTTTTCGGACTTCAATCTCAGCACTGATTTAGTCTGGGAATCCAACTTGGAAATTTATTTAGTTCTGCTCTCACTCACCTCTGAATTGTTTTGCTTTTTTTATATTTTCTTCAAGTTTTGCTTTATTTTATTTAAAACTCATTATCCAAAGTCTTTGCCATTCTAAAAGCAAATTTGGCTCTACCCAATAAAGAAAAAATACTGAGCAAAACCGATAGGAACAGGAGAGAACAAAACATGTAAATTTATTAATAAAAGTAAAAATCGACCTACTTTTAACATCACATTTGAGCAAAATTTTTGTGCTTCTAAAACTTAAAGGAAAAGTAAATGCAATCCAGCTGTTTAACCAGTTGAACGTTACAAAATATTGAAGAAAAATATCATTCTAATTGATTAATACCTACTGTACGATTAAAATTCTATACAAAGTGAAGAAAGTTGTATTTCGCTTTGAAGAGAAACTTCGCAAAACGATTCAATCCTGCCAAAAAAAATTGTATTGTTGGAAACGTTGCGATTTTCATCGTTTTCTCGTTGTTTGGTATATGAACTTTTGCGCTTGGTCGTTCTGGTTAAAGTATCAAGAATTGAAAGAACCAAATTTATTGTCCAAGTTTCAAATATTGTCCTTAGAAGTTGAAACAATGTTGAATTCGACCAGAACCTGCACTCATTAATTTCCGTTTCTTATAATAATCGAATAATTGCTCAATGATCTCTGCACAAGAAATGTTATATGCAATGAAAATGAATTCAATTAAGTCAAATCAAGGTGAATAGCAGAACACAATGCGTACTTTCTTATCTATCTTGCTGGTAGTTTCCCAGAAAAACACTTGATGCCTCGTTAAGATCTTACTTTTAATTTGCAGCACTTTATGAAATGTATACCGCTGAAGTTTTCATAGTTGCATTTTCATATGAAGACTTTTTTGTTTGTTTGGTTGTATTGTTGGCGCATTTAAAGCTCTCTTCACATTTAATGCAGTTTATTCTTGCCACTGTATTACAATAATGGACTCGAACAGGAAACAATAAGAGCAGACATCCCCTATCGTTACTCCCTAGGGTATCTAATAAAAGTTGTGGGGCTTCCACAGGTAATTTGATCTCTGAATGCGCAACGCCTGTTTACTTTTCACTACTGATTAGTTCAATTAAGGTCGATCACTCCATGGGAAATTCGTGTTTTCATTTAAATTTTTAATAGAAATATCGAATTCATTACAATGTTGAAATGAAAAGGAAATTTTGATGTTTTTATGAAGAATTTAACTTTTCCAAATGCGCAAATTGAGGTCCCCTGGCAACATATCAGGTTTAAGCATATCGTTTAAAATAGAAACGTGGCGATCTATTCTCAGATTCCAGGTCCAGCCTATATCGTCATTCGATACCTCTAAACTAGAAATAGAAACTCGAACACCACGTAAATACCCATGTCAGTTAGGTAGTTTTTAATGCAAATAAATTAGATGATTTCGGAAAATCCCTCATGCTTTTCAAAGTTCCAATCTGCGTTGCCGATGAGAGGAGCCAATAAATTTTAATATTTAAAGCCATGTGGATCTAAAACAATGGCAGTTCAAAGAACTTGAGCCCGTTGGATGGTAAATAGAAAAAGCTTTGGCGGAATTCGGTAAACACATGTGCACCACTTGCTACTCGAATCCCAGGGGTGTCGGAATGTCTGGTCGACAACGAAGAAAAGGTCTTAATAAGTGTTTGTTTAACCGTCAATTTGCTTAAACGCATAAATTTAGGGCCTTCTTTTGCAGTGGCGTGGTCTTTAACGGCTTTAGAAATAGCCAATTTTTTGTTTTAACAACGCAAGAGTCTTTGGATTAAAAACAGTCTAAAGATTTGTAATTTTTTCAGTCAATTCAGTTAATTCAGTTAATAATGTAGTTGAGTATTGTACTGAATAATTTAATGTACATACTTTTTTGTTTCGGAATTTATTAACAAATATGCAGTGTTAAAGTTGAAAATATGCATTTGTGGACATATTTAATAACGTTGAGTGCAAGTTGTACAGTTACATGTTGTACCGATTATAATGATATAAATAATGTATATTGTTATCGAGCAACATTCGCAAAATTTGCACAGTTATTTTTACTTTACGCATCATTTTTATTGTCTGATAAAACGTTCTGTTGTGATGATCAAAAAACAATCAAACATTAGTAATAATCAGTAATAAAAAAAGGATATGTAATGTTAAACTACTCTATTAAAGACCGAAAAGAAACCTATCAAAGTTGCCACTTGAAACAGCTGGTTAATGCAAATGAGAAAATGGTTGCCTTTAAAAAATTTGGAAAAAAGTTGGCAGTGGAAACTGAACAAATAAGGCACAGCATAAAAAAGCGATGTTTGAAAGAACATAGAATACAATTCTGTATAAATGTTGACTACAGCCTACAGCGACTTGTAAGAATCCAGGATGATATTTATGTAGTGAAGAAAATTGCTTTGAAGCATCGGATTTGAAAAACCACATACGATTGATTGCAGATTCTGCTCGCAAATGGGGAGCATTAATTCATTTTCCAATTAAAATATTCTTTCGCTTATTAAGTCTTATAAAACGGTTGTTGCACAATTCACTGAGCAAGTCCCCAAGCTGGCACATGAATTGCAAATTTTCCACTCAAATAATGGAAAAAATGACTCGTAATTGTACCTTTATTGTTTATTTATTATGCTAGAACACATTCGATTGCATTAGCAAACCACAATAGCTTTGAAAGAAATCGATACTTCTCAGCACGGTGTCGGTTTCATTTATAAGAAGTGGCATTGGATGGAGTAATTCGAGCCGTTTCTGGGGTTGCTGGTTTTGGTTAGTTTGAGAAAAATTTTAACAACCTTTTCCTTAATTTACTCGCCTATAGAATTTTATTATTATGTACCGCGCCACCTTTTTAAATAATTGAACGTAGAGAGTTTCGGAACTCATATACACAAGAAAGTGCTCGGGGAAATTAATAGTGGGCGAGCAGTGTCGAATCAAACGGTTTTATGAGACGATTTTGAACACATGGGATCACCAAAATTTTCTTAAAATCTGACTAAAATATATTTTTTGCTTTAGAAGTTCAGAAGGTTTACCTGCAGAACTGTAGGTTATGACACCTAAAATGTTTGAAATACAGTAGGTATAGCGTAAAGGACCCCGCGATATCCAAACTTAACACTTAGTAATTTTTTCTTATGGGCTGCTGGGTTTGTCAGCTCATCACCGAACAATGTTCGATTAAGGTTAACTGAAAATATAAAGGCGTCGGTCGAGTGTCTCCTGCTGTTTTTTTTATTTAAATAGCGACTTTATTCATTCCAGCAACCATAAGTTGATGATTGAACTTTGTATTTTTGGTATGAATTTTCTTAATCATTTGATCATTTTTTTCGCATTCGCACTACTTTAAATATCATATTCACGCGTTGTGTCAACTTTTTCGTCACTTTTTCTTTCACTTTCTTCTTTTCTTCTTTTTTCTTTTTCGTCGTTTTTGTGTCACATTTTCGATCGTTTTTGTGAATAACCATTTTAGCTTGCGAGTAAGTTTTATGCGTAATGTATCAAACATTATCGAGACCAAATCTGGTCGGGGCTACAAAGGATTATGAATGAATTTTACATATTGGATACGAAGATATTCAAGTTTTCCCAATTGCAAATTACCAGTCAACAAACAGAGGAATGTTTCATCTGGCTAATAAATTTAAAATCCCGATTTGTTAATAAAAAGAGCGTATCATCTAAAAAAGCATGAAATTAAATCGCAAAACACATAAGAAAACAATACTTTAAGACAGAAATGATGTAAAAACTGGGTCTTCGAAGAAAAATGCAAACAACTCGGGGAAGATAAAGTAAGCCATAACGAAAAATGATTCATCATCATTCATTCATGATCAGAAAATGCTTGTGACCTCTGAACATTTTTTAATCCCTCTCATCGAATAGAATCGAATAGAATCATCGCTTCGAATAGAATTAGAAGAATTATTTCGGAAAATAGCGGTTCGGAAGGAGTCTTAGACGTTCTTATGCGATTTTCTTTGCTTTTTCATAATCTGCGGCCTTCAGGCAAAATAAGTATTAATTTTTTGAACTGTGGATACTGGATAATTGACGATTTGTCTTTTGGCAGGAATTTTTTGCTTTTTTGTTTGCTTTCTGGCAAGACTTGTCTGGAGCTTGAATAGGTATATTGAGTGATTGGCTTTGTCCAAAATTGGCAAATTACCTGTACGGGATGGCTGATGGAAGAATCGCCCTGTACAAAGCCGCAGACGAAGAACATTCTGAAACCCTATATTGTTTGCAGCAAACGGGGGAGTTGCCGCTCGGTTCGGTATCAGGTTTCGCCAAAACAACGAAGCCTGTTCAAACATCCTCTCTTAGCAGCAGCGTCGGGCCACCGCACTTCTATCCGCCCTCCGCCATCAGTGCGACCGATTGTGCAAACAAAGACCTACTTTATGCCCATGGCTTTTTTCGCTTTTTGCTCGAAAATGCACTAAGAGAAGGCTGCTCAAGAGCCAGATATTTGGAAACACCCAAACCAACGTTTCAATACAATGCTTTGATTTCTTGCGAATGTTCTTCATCGTCTTCTTCTCGTGTGTCATCAACAGAGTATCTTTTTTCATCCGTGTCTCTTGCAGAAGTACTCATTTTATTGGGGTCATTTTTGCTGGTTTTGATTTTGCCGATGTTTGTTGTCGTGTGTTTTTGTGTTTCATAAAATTGTTGCAGTATCGACTTTTTTCAACTAGTTTACAACACTTGTGTGCATTTTTCGTTAATTTCTCAGAAAAATGCCTCCCAACTGTTTAAATCAGCATCGGCTGTGAATGATACATTGTTATTCTTCTCAAAGAAGTGATAATTGCTTGCTAAGTGGCTGACATATCTGTTGGTCTCTAGCCAATATTATTTCCATAGATTTGCTAACATTTTTCTTTTTAATTATTTTTTTATTTAGACTTTATTTGGACTTTTTCCAGTACGTTTACAGTGAATAAGTTCACATACTTAACTTAACTTAACTTAATTAATATATTGATGCCTAAATGTTCCAGACATTTGTATGCATCATCCAAATGAAAATTATTTCCAAGAATTACGACATACCCCCTAAGTCTTAATTTAATTGAAATATACCTAAAACTAATTTAATCTATTTAATTTAAACGAAGAGAAAGATACATGAAATAACCAAAACAAAACTTTACACATAGTTTACTTAAATTAATTTTACCATCACCCAGAAGCAACATCCCCAAAAACCATAAAAAAAAATCAAATTTGTCTATATTTTGAAAAATAWATTTTCTGCAGCCCCTACTAAAATTTCTAATCTTATTCAYCCCTTTCAAGTTATTCGGTAGGACATTATAGAATTTAGGAGCCAAATAATCGTTTAAGATTTGATACCAATTGCTATAAATCTYTATGCAACTGATGTAGCAAATACAGKGTGTACAGAAGACGATCTTTTATTAAYAAAAAATGTCTGGCTCCTCTGCTATTGATGGTCAGTTTTTCAAAAAATGTATCTTTTTCGAAACATCGGGAGAATGGTACGATGTGTTTTAGTGAAACTCGCTGTGAATTTGTTYTKWTGTAAGACTCAYATTTTGATGAAACAATCGAGTTCAGCCGTTTTGGACAAGTGGTGAATTCTTGAGTGCCGTGGTACAAAAACTACCAGAACTTTTTAGTTGGAGGATGAAATCAACTCATTTTTTTTCGGTTGATGCACTAATCATTTGTTCACAATTTTGTGCTCTTTGTAAAATCTTGTAGCATTCATAGTTTTTGCGGAAAAAAATGTCTGTTTTCTAGTAACTTAGCAATGTTGTTTCTTGGCTATTTGGTTCTCAGCCAGTCCAGAAGCTTTTAAGCAAGATCTACCGTGTCTTTGTTTGAAGAATCTTGCATTTTAAAGGGTTAAAGCACCAAAAGACGGATTGAGACCACCGTGGACGGATGGGTCTGACCTCTCAATTTCATTGAGCACCAGCTCGTAGAACGTCGAAGGGACTCGCTCACCCGTTTCAGAAGGAGTCCGGTTTCACCTGCGGGCTGCCTTCGTCGTCAAGAAACCCGATATCCGTAAAGAGGCCCGGGCGCTGCGGTGTTAGAAACCGTAGCAGGACCAACTTTTATAAATATTTCAAACAGACCAGGCTGAAAAAGTGGGACCCGCCTTCGGAGCTCAGCAAATTAGTCTGTCCGATCCGAATCAAAAGACGGAAGAACTTCAAGAACTAAAGATTGGACGGCAGAAGAGTGGAGGAAACCCGTCTGGCACCAAAAAGGTTCCTCTTCCTAAGCCAGTTCAATTAGCTGACTCCCACTGCATTCGGGTGATGGTTTTATTTTGTCTATGATTTGGGTCGAATTCGCTACTTTTTTCAGAGTTGTGTAATTCTGTGGTTCTTCTATTTGCGTTTCTTCTAAATTGCTCACCTGTCTTTATGTTCAGCAGCCCGATCTCGTTGTCTTCGATTCTTGAACCAATTGGATACTTGTGTGGTAGTCAGTCCGGTAGCTTCTGCTAGTTCCCGTTTCTCCCTAGGGCTGGGATATGGATTGTGTGAGTACCAGTCTCGCAATACGCTTCTGGATTTTTCCTTAAAACAATAACTAGTCTCTTCGCCGTCCCAAATTGTCCGTGGCAAGGGGAATTTTCGTCGCACTCTGTATTTTCCTACCGCACCTAACGGCCTCCCTAAAATATGAAAATTTATTCTATAGAATACATTAATCTTTCCTTTTTATTGGGAAAATTTGCTTGAAGATTTTGCAATGAATTGATATAAATATCGTAATATGCTCCTCTTTTTACTCATTAAATAATGATTTATTAAGTCCTCAGGTAATATTATACAAAATCCAAACTTAAAAAACACTACTTTTATTAGGGATTTGCTCTAGTTCTGATTCATCATACATTTTCGTCGAAGCTATTCAGTTTTCCTTTATGAATTGAAATATAATTCACAGAAAACGACTCTAATTTTGATCTACTATTGCAAATGCAAATATTAAAACTGAAAATCCATGTAAAATCGCCGTCCTAATTAAGGCAAAAGATCCAAATAAGATCGAGTTGGTTTTTGCCTTTTCCGGCTTCAGACTGCCTGAGGCCTGAAAAGGGACACACAAGCTCGAACCGTACAGGAAAGTTGAATATTGGTTGTGAGAAATTCATGATGCCAATTTTGAAATAAAACAAGAAACATTTAATTAACGGGAAAGACATTTAACAAATTAATTTGCTTTCATTCATGCAATGCTCAATAAGTCCTTTCTTGGGACGGGAAACTAAAAACATAAAAATAGCAAAAGGTACTTAAAACTAACATTGTGGCAAAAATATCAGAAGTAACCAACTGGACCGATGAAAGAACGCAATAATAAAGAATTTCGACTTTCAGCAGATAAAATATAAACATGCATATGAACAAGATAATTATGCGCCAATCAACCGTTTATCCAAGTTCATATTCGTTATGCTTAACAGGCAAAACATATTTTAAATTTGCTTACTACACAACGTGTTGCAAACATACTTTTGTATTAAAAGAATTTAAACAATTTAATCATAAGTTACTCCCAACATTCTGACCGTCCTTGAAATCGCTGAAAAGAAATAAATTGTATAGAACATTTTTGGGGACATAAAGAAAAACCAATTTGAAGCTTTTTCGCCAATTGCTCTGAACTTAACATAGTTGAGCACTAAACCTGTGAAATTTAGGATTCATACACAACAAACAGTTCAGCATTCATCATCTACGGAAAATATTTGGATTAAATCAGTGTTTTGAGTTACTTTTTGAATATTTTTCGTAGCCTTTTTGAGGAAAGGAATAGGTTTGGGTCAAATCTTGTTTAATGAACCTACCTCTAAGCCTTTCAGCTTCAATGTAATGCGCTTTGAGCCATAAGGCTTGGAGTTTGGCATGATTGTGTGGACTAAACTGATGTCCTTCTAGTATTTTGTACAGTTCTTTGAAGTTTCCTCTATGGAACGCTACAATGGCTTTGGCCTTCAGTACGGATTCGTTATTGTGTAGTTTATCACATGCAGGTAATGACCATAGGAATCTACCCAGTCGTTCTACGTTGCCTGCCTGCTGTAGAACCTGCAACATCAATAAAACTTCATTTGCAATTCGGTTTCACTTAGACATTTCTTCATATGAGTGAAGCATATTTAAAGTGGATATATATCTATAACAAATTTCGTTTTGTTCCAGTTGTTTTCGGTTGATTTCTAAGTAAAATGAGCATGATTAATATGGTCCAGGTCCAATCGGTATCCGCTTTTTTTCGATCGATCTGTAAGTAATTTCGTGTATGCAAAAAAAGATCCAACAGATCAACAATTATTCAAGTCAATTCATACAAGGCCATTTCGATTATTATAGAATGGATCATCGAATGTTTGCAAATGTGTCCACGAGCGTCAGCTCAATCATAGAGCTTTGTCGTATGACTCACATTTAAAGGGACTTGAGCTCACATTTTAAAAATGAATAAATAAATAGACAAATCGTGATTTGTCCGGAAAGTCGATCGGAGCGCATTAATGGCCTATATTTGGATCAGTTTTCGGTTTATAATCAATTATAATTTCAAGTTCTGGAATTGCAGTTGAATRCAATGGTTTATCATGAAAGRGSACCAKTWAARAKKAAWTTGTTTWMATTACRAATAWRWWTTMAAAATGTTGCTGCCYCTGAGTGCAAAAATGTGTTTTTTTCGCCAAKGSASCAAGGCTTAACTWATTYCCTTTAATAWTTGCTGGAAAGTACGGAAAAAAACATTCATACAATTTGAGTTGATTTCTCTTCGAGAAATCTTCCAACAGTCTAGCTGCAGAGTCAAGACCGTCTGGATAYGCGAAATCTACGGYGCAAATATTGTTCACTAGAAGAAAATTCATTCTTCAGAAGAAGTTGAAGTGTAGTTGTTAGAAAAAGTTAAAGTGGACGCACCAGAACCACTGATTCTGAAGAATTTGATGGAAACAGTTGAACGGTTTTGCAAAGATTTTCCTGGATTTTCGAAGAAACTTCGTACAAAAGCAATCGTTAGAAGAAAGGTTTCATCTCTGCAATTTTATCAAATTTCCTTTAACATTAAAGTTCGATGAGACCTGGGTTGGCCGTATTGAAAAAACTGGAAACTGTGCTCAATTCATTAAATTTCGGCCATATTTACATTTGGCACTCGGTATAAAGCCGTAAAGAAAATCGAAACTCAGATAAGAAAACTGCAAATTCCATTACTATCGAACTTTAATGGATATGAGTAAGTCGATATCACCGTCTCGGGACTAAAATGTAATGTGACGAATGAATTATCGGTTGAAGAACAATGCCCATGTTGGATTGAGTCATTCGGAAGCCATAAAGAGTTGATTATCTATCGTTGTGTTTCAATTCCATCTCGGTGCATGTGTATTGCGTTTTGAGCAAAAAGCGGGACTTTAGACGAAAAATCGCCGAGACACCATAGCTTACGCGAGCAACCCACCAGTTGATATAATGCGCGTGACAAGCTCAGCTCGCAGTAAAATATCAGGTGAAAAATTACGAGAAAAACATTACAGAAATGCCTAATGGTCAGAATAACACCCACGGAGAACACCGATATACCTCAACATCCAGGGTCGGTGGTAATACGAGATTAATTCCCCGCCAAAGCCGAACTGGGCAATGATAAATGGGAGCCGTGCATGTGCTTGAGCTTGGACTTGACGTGGGTGATACAACTTGCTGATTTAGTCGCGGTTATTCTTCTTTTTGCCAATGATCTGGCCATGCTTATCACGAATTATGCCAACTATGTGCACACTGTTCCCAAAAAGAATTGCTTCAAAAGTCTACCCCAAAGGAGACCTGGACCTTTGAAATCATAGAATCATAGAAACTGCTGGTCACCCACTCGAATTATGTGGTAAATTCTATCGGATAAAAAACCTTTTGAGACTTAGCTTTACATTAGTCTATTCGTTGGATTTATGATCGAAGCAAACATTTCGAATCCGCTCAAAATGGCGGTTCAATGCGTGCAAAATCCTTATAATTAGGCTTGGATAATACTGTGTCTGAAGACTCTGTGTGTTCATGTGCCGCGACACTTGCCTTACGACGCGGCACTTAACATACACTTTAATCTCATTGAAGAATGCAGACTTCGGATTGCAGTGCGTAAAGGCCACGCGCAGTTAGCATATGGTTGCTGACCATTTCGGCAAGGATTATTGACGTTATAAAGCCGCACGAACGAAAGTGGTCAAAACTGTCAAACTTGTCTACTGATTACTGATTACTGATTCCACTGAGGAAATTTTACATGTGGGTTTTTTGAGCTCAATCGATTCCTTTCGACGCAAGAAGGTCGCAAATATCCTGTAAAATGATGTAAAATTTAAGATATTTTGAGAACATTTTAATTTTTTCAAAAAATCGACCCCCACCCTTGGGGAAGTTTCGACCAAAAATCAAAATTTTACATGCGGGTTTTTTGAGCTCAATCGAATACTTTCGGTATAAGAAGGACACAAAGATGCATTTATAAAGTGTTCAGTCAGAGTCAAACACGACGTTGCTTTTTTGGCAGTCTCTCAGGCCCCATTTGTGCCACAGAATTAGTTTTGGCATCGTTGGATAGAGAATTGAAAATTTGATTTAGTCATCACCACATGAGTGAGGAAATGCAAGTGGTTTCGACCCAGAAAGAGAAATCTGAATGTCAGACACTTCGGTGCAAAAATTATGAAAAATTTTCCTGTTTTCCGTCCCGTTTTTACTCATTTCTCGAAAGCAAAATGATCCAGAGGGCTCATCTTTACATCATTACAGAGAGCACTAAATGGCCTTTTTCGAAAGTGAACCATCAATAAAGAAATGTTGGCAGTTTTCATAAAAAAGTCTTGGTTTCAAGAAGTTTTAGATTTGCGTGTTTTTTTTGAGTTGCAAAATTGACTCAAACACGACGTTGCTTTTTTCGAAGTTTCTCAAAAACCATTCGAGTCACAGAATTCGTTTTGGCATCGTTGGATAGAGAATTGAAAATTCGAGATTCAGTTGTAACAAAGTGAGTGAGGAAATTCGAGTGGTTTTGACCCAGAAAGCGAAAATTGAATATCAGACACTTAGGTGCAAAGATTATGAAACATTTTCCTGTTTTCCGTCCCGTTTTTACTCATTTCTCGAAAGCAAAATGAGAGCAGTAAATGGCACTTTTTCGAAAGTGAACCATCAATAAGGAAATGTTGGCAGTTTCACTGAGTCACGAGTCAATAATAAGGAAGAAATCGTCGGCTAAACATCGTGAACGCTCAAAGATCGCTTAAAATCTGCCTAAAATATCGATTATTTCGGATCTGAAACTTCTAGCATGTTTTCGAATGAGTTCGATGCATTCCTCGCGTCCGTGAGCTGAAAATGATGTAAAATTTAAGACGTTTTGAGAAAATATAAATTTTTACAAAAAATCGATCCCCACCCTTTGAAAAATTTCGGCCAAAAATCAAAATTTCACATGCGGTCTTTTGAGCTCAATCGATTTATTTCGACGTAGGAAGATCACAAATATGCATTTATAAAGTGTTTGGGTCAATAATGAGGAAGAAATCGTCGGCTAAAGATCGTGAACGTTCAAAAATCCCTTAAAATGTGCCGAAAATGTCGATTATTTCGGATCTGAAACTTCCACCATGTCTTTCAATGAGTGCGACGCATTCCTCGCGTCCGTGAGCTGAAAATGACGTAAAATTTCAGACATTTTGAGAAAATTTAATTTTTTTCAAAAAATCGACCCCTACCCTTAGAAAAATTTCAGCCAAAAATCAAAATTCCACATGCGTGGTTTTTGAGCTCAATCGATTCCTTTCGATGTAAGAAGGTCACAAATATGCATTTATAAAGCATTTGGGTCAATAATAAGGAAGAAATCGTCCGTTAAAGATCGTGAAAGATCGAAAAACGCGTAAAATGTGCCGAAAATGTCTATTATTTTTGATCTAAAACTTCTAGCATGTTTTTCAATGAGTGCGACGCATTCCTCGCGTCCGTGAGCTGAAAATGATGTAAAATTTAAGACACTTTGAGAAAATTTTTATTTTTCCAAAAAATCGACCCCCACCCTTGAAAAAATTTCGACCAAGAATCAAAATTTAACATGCGTGTTTTTTGAGCTGAATCGATTCGTTTCGACGTAAGAAGGACACAAATATGCACTTAAAAAGTGTTTGGGTCAATAATAAGGAAGAAATCGTCGGCTAAAGATCGTGAACGCAAAAAAATCGCCGAAAATGTCGATTATTTCGGATCTGAAACTTCTAGCATGTTTTTCAATTATTTCGACGCATTTCTCGCGTCCGTGACCTGAAAATGATGTAAAATTTAAGGCGTTTTGAGAAAATTCTCATTTTTTCAAAAAATCGACCGACTGAAAACTGAGTTATTTCAATAGTTTTTCAATTTTCCAAACCGAAGTAGAAAAATATATTCGAAGTACCTACGATAATATAACTTTTGGTAGCTACTGCCTATTGATAAAATCTATTTTCCTAGTACGCAAAAAATGTCCATAAAAAATCTTTCTGTCTATTATTTCGTTTCCGAAAAGGTGTTAAAATGTACATATTTTTTTGCACTTTACGGCTTCAGCCTTATAGACGCAAAAATAAGTAAATTTAACATTTTCTGAGAAACGCAAACTTTCGAGTTTTTCGTGGAAAGAGTGAAAATCTCATGGAAAAGTTCACGCAAGCATTTGAGTCGTTTCAAACCCTGTGTATAATAAAATCGCGTAACCAAATAATTTGTAAAGTAAACATCATTTATCCCAGCAAGGCCAAATTTTGCCGCACTTTGAAAAAGGTGACAAAACAAAGCTGTTGGGGTTCTGTTTTTCTTTGGGACAGCTAATTTTAGATGCGGGATGCTTATAAACCCATGTTTTTCCTGAAAATGTGTTTTGTCTCCAAAGCTGTCGATATGCGTGACTCTAGAGTGGGGTAATCTTGTGTTTAATAAAGTTACATGATAATAAACGGTATTAAATAAACACATGGTAAAAGAGAAATTAAGGGGAAAGAGTCCATCCACACAGAACTGAGCTTCAGATCAGAAGTTCTTAATAGTTCTTGTCTTGAGTTCATTTTGAGCAGGACAACTGATTTTTTCTTGGCGGCATTATCGACGTTTTTGTTTTTGAAGAAAAATGATGGCTACTATTTATATGTAGATGCAACATGACTAAATACCCATTTTCAATATGTGCTACTTGCAGTTAAAATCGCAGTACTTTCAACCCTTGACACACGGCTGCCTTTTCAAATTGAAAGAACAGATCAATAAAAATGAGAATAAAATAAATATCAGTAAAAAAACAGAAAACTATAACTAATAGAAAACTAACAGAAATCTATAAGCAAATGAATCAACTTTGTTGATATTTAGAAATTGAGATGTGACTTGTCCTAAAAATTAATAAACGATATTAACAATGTGGCCTTTTATGCCTACCATTATTTTTTTGAGTTACAGCTGTGTCATCGTTATGAGTTACACTCGTAAAACACCGAGTGCACAGAAAGATCGGGTTACACGAAAAACATAGGCAGGAAGCATTGCCCATATAAACAAAAATAACATACTCGAAACGACCCCATTAGCATCCGTATTTATTTAACTTTTCTGCTTCGAGGCTTTATTGGAAAATTCTTATAAACGTTTTGGTTGTAAATACTAGACAATTTATATAGACGGTACTGCTTAATGGTTAAGTTGGTTTACGATTTTCTCATCAATAACATTTAGTATTAGTACTGATTATATCTTGAGAGGTGAAGCACCTGCCATTCTTTTCTGTTGAAGGTTTGTAGATTAATTTTTCGAAGGCTTGTTGAAGTCAACATTAATTTACTACTGTGGATGCCAATTGTTCAAATTTTGTACTATTAGTTAGTGTCCTCCCGCTCATCTTCAGAAAATTTCCAGCAATTCCTCAAAATAATAGAGTTCAAAGTTATAAATGTAGTCAGTTTTGATGGTTTTTCACAAAAATGGCATAATATGTTGCAACTGCACCTGGACTTTGACTTATCTCGGCTTTTTACAATCCATACTTGGGTCTTTATCTAAGAATCATTCGCCTGTTTTAACTGGTATCAGGTTAAAAGATTTTAATGAACACATTCTACCTTACACATTAAACGTTGATATATTTATCGCATAACACACGATAATGTATTAATGCGATCTATTTAATCGTTACATGCTAATCTATCATGCAGTTGTATATTTATCAAATTCACCATCGATCAAAGTGCTGCCAATTTCAAGTATTTTCAAAGTTTATATATTAATTAACGCTAATCTAATCGAAATGCATTTTGCATATCCGGGGAATTTTATACGTATTAATTAGACTTTCAATAGCCTCATTAGTTCTAGGTAGTTTATACTGCGTTTCATCTAAATATGATTTTTGTGTTCGTTCACCTAATTAATGTAGTTTGCCACAATTTTTCTAAGAAAACAATTATTTCGTAAAACTTGTAACTGTAATTTATGATTGGTTTGAGAACTTTCATCAATCTGCTTCCACTCAATCACTGTTGACCTGATAAAACCCATTTAAGATCTCGTTTGGCATTTGATTGATACACCTTGTATAAATTGCTCTGTCTGGTCAAATATCTTACGTATTACTAATTAATAGTCTGTAAAGAGTCAACACTTTACAATTTATGGTTCCTGATAAGCACAATCTGACCGAAATGTCCTTTTTGTTAACCAGATATTTTCAATCCCAGACAGCAAACGTTGCTCTTTGGCAGGCGATTTTTATTATTTATTTTTATTACTTTTAAAATGTATACAATTGCTCAGCATAAATTAGTCATTTTGAAGAAACTCTAAAGTTACTTTTTGGGGCTTATTTGGCCAGATTGTATTAAAACTGATCCCAAGTTACTATCAACTATCAAGTAGCAGAATATGAACAGAAAAACCTTCACCGCTAATCTGGTCTCAAGCCAGTCTGATGATGTTATTTTATCTGTCCGTGTTATATACAGGTTGTCAAAAAACTTGATAAACTGATTATTTAGAAGATGCTATCAAATGATTCCAACTTTAATTTCCTAACTTCCACTTTGTTGGAAATTCGCGTTCTATTTAAAAAAAAACTTCGTAACTTTTATTTAGATTCTTTTCAGAGGGCGCCCTAATCCATAAAATTTTCTAGTTTTTCCATCAAGTTCAGGTGTACTTAGTTCAAGATGCACGCGAAGCAATAATTTGAATATTTAATTGATTAAGGTGTTAATAGCGTCGAAAGCAAAGCTTAAGCAAAAGTGTGCTTTTTTTGCGTAGAACAGGAATCTGCGAAAAAGTGGGAGTTGGGCGAACGATTCATTCTGGTATCATTTGACGGCTTCTTCCAAATGATCAGATTCGCGTTTGTTTAAATGCGGCTTTAGTGTGTTTTTGCAGATATTGAAAATATTTCTTAGTTTTTGTATATTTTTGAATATTGCCTTATCAAATATATGCGATTGCTATAATTTTCTGGAATTCATTTGAATATTTGCTCTTTTGTTTTGAGCTTTTATTGCTGTAATAACTTCTTCTTTGGCTACTTCTGAACCATTTTCGAAGAAACGCTTCGAGTGCCTGAGGGTCGTCGACGAAAATTGTTTAGTCTCGTTTTCTTCCACTCTTTACTCGTTTAATTCGAACAATTTTTCTATGATTTGCAAATTTATTTGCGCGTTTTAGACAGATTTGGGACAATTTATTAGTCGAATATGAAGTTAATTTTAATCGATTTTCCCAGATAAATTTCCGATAAACAAATGTGTGGTTTGATAAAGCATTATCAAACAAACCTTACCAATAATCATTTTTTAAATGAGTCATTGCATTTTTTTTTCTTATTTCAATGGTCTGATAATATGCACTGAATCTTTCCGAGATAAGGCGATACTCAATAATTCCAAAAGTTTATGGAATAGTTCATAATATTTATATTGGCGCAGGAAAATGTATGACAAACGAATTTGAATATGCTGCATCTTACATTTTTAACAGATCGAAATTTCGATTCAGCGTTTGTTCAATAAATTTAAGGCAAATATCTTTAAATATTTATATTTTGGCAAAATAATTTGGTTTTGCGGATTGATCATGCTTTGAAATATTTTCCTGGTTCCCTGAGTCTTCAGTTTACTTCTTCTGAGGTAAGGAATGGAATGAGCAGATAATATAAAAAAGTCAAAGAACCCGATGGATTTTCCATTTTTTTATTTTAAATTAAAAATAAACGTATTTATTAGCATATTACATTATAAAATATGTAATGCATTTGATAGGTTTTGCTCTCGCGACTCATTTCTAAAATAATCAATTATTTTCCACTTATACATGATGAAAACGTTTCCAAAGAAGAATTTATATGAAAATATCTGCTGCTTTCGGAAATAATTGACAAAATCATTTTCGTTTGCTGCAAATGTTGCAATTTTATGACACTAAAAACTTCCTAAATTAAACTCTAGCGGAGTTAAGGAGGATTTAATAATTGACGTATTTGCCGTAAGAGTTTCATGTATGGGAGAAGCAAGAGAAGCCGGAAGAAGACCTCTTCAACCCATCGACTTCTTATGGCAAGTGGCCGATTGCTAATTTGCATCACAAATTGGGAATTTAATAATAACCGGTGAGTTCTGAAAACATTCGAGTTCTCAAGAATGCCACTAAATTTAGTGTTTAGTAGTTTACAAAAATTGAGATGGCGATAGGATGGACGCTCGAAGAAAACGACAGTGTAACTTAATTAAATTTATTTATAAAACATCAATATTTCCAACATTAAATGGGCAACTCTGCGTCTATCTAAAAGACTTTATTTCGCATGCATCAAATTGGTTTACAAAATTTAGAATTTAAATATACACTTAATAAAAAGATATAAATACAAAGAAGATTTGAAAATTCTAGTTAACTGTAGTATGGAAAATTTTCGGAACGTGGGAGTGTTATTATTTATGTTTTTCGCGATTTAAAAATTAATTTTTCGTCGGCGTAGGAGAAAAACAAAATTAATGACATAATTATAACTTACCTCACACACGCAAGCCACTTGCTCCTGCGTAAAGCCAAAACTCGGTAGGGGGCTGTGGCGCGTTGGCGGCGGAGAAAAAGAGGGCGTGGTGCCCGACACCGAGCCGGGGGCGGCACCGTAACCCATGCCAGCCGACAACATCGCACTCGGGGGCGGCAGAATCTTTCAACCCTCGGTCATTGCTTTCGATTGGACGCACTGTGGAAATTATTCAAAAAATTTAGAATCTACTTATCAAAAACAATTTAAAATATATTTTATTACACGTGTGAGTTAGGCATGACACGTATACAGGGTGGTTCATTCACTGTGGCAATTTCGAACATGCTGAAAATGTGCTCAAGAAAAAGAGGAACCGTTGCCATATTTTAATTTTTGTTGAATTCGCGAAGGGTTGAAAAATTTCCAAAATACAGGGTGGTTAACTTTTATAGTTGCAAATAAACTAGGTTATGCATACTTTCAGATAAAACGCATTTAGTATTTCTTCAATTACGTATAATTTGAACTTGGGCGCCAATCCCGACCAATTTTTATATTTTAATAGTAGCAGTAATATAATAAAAAATATGATTTTAATATCAATAATAATGAATAAATTACACGTTCCGAAAATTTTTCAAGTCATTTTAAGGAATAATTGTGTAACAATGAAATAGTTCGCAAAATATTTCAAAAGTTCGTCGGTGTCTGTTATTTAATTAATGGCGCAAAAAACAAAATGAATTTGTTCTTTAAAAATTTTAAATTAAAGTTCCTCCAGGAACTCACTATTTCGGGGCAGGCAATAGTTGACTATTTTAAAAATAAAATTTTGTTTCTTGGGAAGAAATGCGAGTACAGCTGGAGTTTCACAATTTCATCAAAAAACGATTTTGCTCTCATTCTCACCAACTGTGGTCCATAAGACTATCTTTATCTCAACATTAAGGGCTCTATAGACAGAATTGGCACACACTTTTTATGCAATTTATTTTTAATGGACCAATGGAAGAAAATTCAATTTTCAGAACTTGATAATTTACTTATGAGTTCCTGAAGACTATAACCAATATTTTCCGCTTTTGAGGCTTAAAAGGCTCAAATTCAACCTTTTAAGAATGTGTTGAATAACTTTCGTTTAGTGATTGGTTCGATGTCAATGTTTTTTAGTCGACAGTGTGGTAAAAAGAAAAGTAGTCATCTGATTTTCAGTTCACTCTTTTTTTGAAGATTCAAAGTGAAAATTTCGAACTTGTTGCACTAGTCGGGCTTTTAATCAAAATTTATTTGGCTTGCGGAAGGAAGTCGGAATAAGTCTGTTCTAAATATTTTTATTCTGCATTCACAGGCAACTCATAAAATGCTTCAGTGCTGATTTTCCGACAGTTTTTGAAAAGCTGTTGAAGATCGATTATTATTCATTCCTAAAAAAGTTACGTTGAATATTTTAAATTGTAAAAAAGCACTGCTAAAGATAATTTAATGTTGCTAATGTGCTTCGTTCTGGTACCTAACAGTTGAGCGCGTCCTGATTCAGTGTTGATAAAATGAGACATTTTCAAATTTTTCACTCACCCAAACGACGTTAATAAATCATGATCACTTTAGAAGACTTCTAGGTTCGCGCCAAATTTAATAATATCAAAAGCTTCTGCGAAGTCACTTAGTGTGCTTGGTTTGGCTTAATGAAGTTCTTGCATTAATCAAACCGCTTGACACGATACGAATTCAGACACGTTCCAAATACATTTACGAACCCGACATGTAAGTTGCACGAATAATGTTTATGCTAAAATCAAGAACACATACATCGACTCCAAACGATTAAACCAATATTGATTGTGACGTGCAATTTGTCAGCTTTAACAATTTTTAAATATCGAATCCGCTAATATCTTGAAATTGTTTGACAAAATGCCCCAACAATTAACGCCGATTTGCAACATCATTGTTTTCACCATGATTAGCACGCTTTGATGTTGATGGAATACGTAACATGTTATGTATTGATACTTTGGCTAAATCATTAGACTTATTACAATATGGAACGACTAGCAGTAATTTTAAAATATTAGCGCCTTCAAGACTTGTTACTGATCCATATTTGTCAAAGGAATGGTTCAGATTGCGTTTTGTAAGTGTGTGATTTTTGCGTTTTTGGGCTGTTGAACACAGGAGTTCTGAGCAGAAATGGACACAAAGGTTCTATAGTTTATTTTGGATATTATGTTTCTCACCTCGTTGTTTGAAAAAAAGTTATTTTAAATGGCAAAGAAGCCCAAACGTGGTTTAGTAATCTTTTTTTTCATCGCGAATCAACAGAAACAAAGAAAACGTGCAGCTCTCCAATAATCACCAAAACCATTTAAGTTAATTAATAATTGAGTTGTCATTCAGAGATGACTACAAATTATATTTCTTGCTCATTTATTGATCAAAAGTAGGTTTATGTTTCTACTTTCAAGAATCGTTAAACCGATTGTGGAACAAAAACAAGTCGACGGCTTTTACTGCGTGTACTTTAAGCGCGTATTAAATTTAATTTTTAATTATGAAGAATTTTACGCCCTCGTGGAGTAATAAGAAATTTTCATAAAACTACACGTTCCCTTCCCGAAGTACACCGGTTTAATTTTGTTAAACTCAATATTTGACGCTCTGAATATATTCACATCCAAAATTATTATTTCACCAAAAATTACCACTAATTACTGATAATTATCACCATTATTTACGACCAAAAATCAAAATTTTACATGCGGGTTTTTTGATTATTGATAAGCTATTATATTAAGTGCATAATAATGTGCAAGTTGTGAAGCTTATATGACAAAAATGTATCATTTATCATTTCAGGCAAAATGTAAAAATGCACTATTTTGCTAGAAATAAACATCGGAAAACCAAATCCGAAGATCACACAAACTGCCTAATAAATTGTGCTGCAAGTCAGTGTTCTTCGTGTAGGGACCAACATTAAACAATATTTTACATAAATCTTTATTCAACGTATTTCAGCATCCAAACGAGTTTTGGGTTAGTTAAAACTAATGCCTCTTAGAAGCTAGATACTTCAACTAAATTATCAGAGCCAAGTTATATTAGATGATTTATCAGTATTTTTGTTAATCAACAGTTTAGCTCTATGCACACAAATGCCCACAAACAAACGAAACATTCCTGGAAAAGTTAATACCCAAATCGGAATTTAATCCGTTATTAAAATGATGATTTTAATGACTAAAATTAACGTTTAATCTATCGTCGATGCGAGTGGCAAGACGCTTGATCTGTTTATCGCTTAATCCGATCGGTAAAACTTGTAATATTTGTATAACATTTTTTTTAAGACTGTTTTTGCTGTCTGTAAGCACGATTCAAGATAGATTGGTCATATAAAATGGTGCTAATCTGTAGCGGCTTAGAGGAGCAACAAATCTAGTTGAGAAATGTTATTTATGGTCTCAACAAAACAAAAATTGTTATCCAGATTTTTTTAACAAACTTATTGTCTTAACTGTATTGAATGAATGACTGCTAAATCTGAAACGAAAACAGGTTTCCGGTAGAGTTACGTAAAATATATTTCTTTCAAAAACTCGTATTTTTGGCGAATAAGTTGACAGATTATAAGTTCACTTGCTTGAGGAAAACAAAGTGAGTCAAAGACAAAATTAAGTGGTGCTGAAAATGCAAGAGAAAAGTGGTACTGAATTCTTGAAAAATCTAAATGATCGTGAATCATGAGTACCTAAACATAAAAAGGTCCAGTGCAGTGAAAAAACAGTTTTTTTGTAGTTTCAACATTCTTTTTGAACATTCTGCAAGCATTGAGGTCCGAGTCAAGTTGGCAAATTCCTCCCCAAATTGGTTCTGTATTAAATATATCAACTTTTACAAGGAAATACCATTCATTATTGTCATTATCATAAATCTACTGCTTAAGTACGCCAACATTTTTTACATTTTGGAATCATGCCTCAATAATAGATTGGAGTAATGGATACCTTTGCTTAAGCTTAATAATTCCATTCCACACAATTGACACATTTTTCTTAATTTCTTTCCTAATTTAACAATAATAACTTGTTTATAAAATTATGTGATTAATGCCAAGTCTTGGATCAAATGCTATGTAAAAAATGTTTCTTCATTGACCAGTCACTTTCGCGAGTTATTCACAAGATTCGTTCTTGTTGCGCTAGATATTAAGGTTTAATCTTCATTTTTATGCTAATTTATACCAATTTTCTCTCGTGAGATTCATCTTCAAAGTTTTCTTGTTTTTGGCCATTCGCTGCTGAAAACCGTATACATTTTCATGCCTCTGCTTGAACAATTTTTTTTTAGTATTTTGCTCAGCCGGTCGCGATCTATCAATTACAAAAAGCAATTTAATTTGCCAGAAGAATTATATAATAATTTGGTTGTTTCATATAAAGGGGTAATATTTGTAAAGACGTTGACCTACCAGTTGAACAGTTGAAAACTTCCAGGAAATGAGAGGGCGAATATCGTCAAAAATAATGCACACAAAAAACAAAAATATCGCGGCAAGTGAGACGCAAACTTGAAAGTGTCGATTGTATCTCTTACGGAGCGCTTTTAATTAGATCACCATTAAAATTCTCCCCACAACGCATCAAAAAGGATTATCATGCCGAAGCGAATTCTAATTTTTATCCATATCTGAATCGAAAATTAATCCTTATTTAACCATCCATCTTCATAAGCTAAAATTGCTATTTAATCTGTTGTAGATACACAATACAAAGATTTTTGCCGATTGATTCCTAATCTGATCAACAGCTTTTTGAATGTTTACTCGAGCTTAAACTGAAACTTGATAAAGAAAATATTTGCCACTGATAATCTTCGAACTAATCTTGGAGCTTTATTTCGACAATATGTATACCAAATATTTAGTCAAGTGCGTTTTTCTCTATTTCTACAAGCTTAGCATTTTAAGGATATTCAATTTTTTCAACRATTTAATATACATTTAAACATGTGTAGGAGGAAACATGTTGAGTGAGTTTATTCTGATATTAATATTAATTATTTAGAAACATTTAGAATCATTATGTTAATGCATTCAAGGATTATTTCAAGTAAACTAAGGAGCGACGTGCAAAATTAAAGCACGCCCATTAGTTGCCTATAGATTGCTAAAAATTCGAAGATTTGCTGTTAAGATGATCGAACTGTGTTCACAAGAACGAGGCTAAAACGAAACTTTGGACTAATTTGAGGCATGAAATGCCTATATTTCAAATGCCTTAATAAGTTTTTTAAACATGAATAACAGTCAACTCATTGCATTGGTTGATAGAAACCATTTTCAAATAACTTTATTATTCTGGGCACGTTTTTCGCWAAAAATAAAATTATTTTACTAAAAAATATATTTGAAAACGTAAACTTTATCGAACTAGATTCTTATACCAAAACTGTGTGGTTTTGAGTGCAATTCAACCCGGTATGTTTTCCAAAGCCATGGTGTTCAGCCGTGACGATTTAAAAAATATATTTTAAAATTAACTTTAATGCCAAAATGCCTCCATTTTTATAACGTTTAATTAATATACGCTTATTTTTAATACCTACATCTAAATCGTGACATTTTATTAACCTTTTATGATTTTTTTGGAACTAATCATTTACCTTATCTATTTATTACAACTTTATTCTTTTTTCCAATTGGATTTGAGTTTTCTATCGAATTTAATTCGTTAAAATGCGTTGTGTGCGTTCAGAGCCAGTTAATTACAGCTCTAGTTTCGTATAATTGTTTTCCTAACAAGTGTTGAAAGATACTTTTCAGTGCGAGACTGTGCCAATAGTCGCGTGTTCAAATCTTTGTTACTTATTTAGCTTTTCTTTTATTCTCGTGCGTATTTCGCATTTTTGCTTCTTGTAATCAGAATAGGTTTAATTTATAATCGAAGCACTCAAGAACAATTTTCTTTTTGACAATGAAGTCTTTTATTATTAAATACATTTTGTTATATGACTTATTTACGCCCAGACCTCGTCTGATAGTCTGTTCATTTTTCAGCATATCAGCAGGTTTTTGAATGTTTTAGACTGACCTCAAAGGACCTTTTTCCTCAAACTTCTTAGACATTTTTCTTGACACCAAGTGGCAAATTTAGGATTTTTCTTGCTTTTAAAATATTTTCTGAGAGGTTTTTTCTTCTAGAGGATCCGGCAAGTTTTGACTTGATTCTTGTTTACCAATTAGATGATGTTGGTGACATATTAGTTAAGGAACTGCAACAGACTGCAAAATTCTAATGTGCTTGATTTTTTTTTTCTTTGATTTCCTTTTCAGGGGCTTTTTTCAGGTTCAATGAAATAAGTGAGTTCAAGTGACAAAACATGCGAACTTTTGCTCGAACCTACTAAAACAAAAAGAAAACAGTTTAAACCGGTTACATGAAAAAGTTTACTTTTCCTGCGGAAACTTCAGTCTTTCTTCACGCTAAGCCGCAAAAAAATATTTTTTTTACCTGTGATATTTGCTAATTATCAGCAAGTTTTCAAATTTTTAAACAACTATTTTAAAAGATGCTTCTGGCATTTATCGGT